GGCACTGGCGTCTCCGTTTTGATCCGCTTCTGTAGCTGACGTTGGGACGCGGGTAGCGGTGTCGCTGTTTCGCTTGCCCCAGCATCGACACCCTCCACTGTGTCTGCGACATCCACTGGCCCTTCCCGCTTGCGCTTCCGCGTGGTTGCACTCGTGACTGCTGGTGTGGTGGCTCTTGCAGAGAGGCTGCCTGATCCAGTTGCCGCTGCATCCGGTGTCGCACCAGGATACGGCGAAAAGATGGCACGCGCTGCTTCCATCATCCTCCGGGTAGACTCCTCCGCCTCTCGCGCAGCGAGCTGGCCCAGGTCGCTCTTCGACTTCTTGGTGTCGTTCAACTTTATGCCCTGGCCCTCCACTTGGTTGTCTTCGCCGGCGAGAGCAGCGTCGGCAGTCGAGGCACTCAGTTCCTGCGGCGTTTCTGGGATGACACCTTCAAACACGCGGCCTTCCGCTTCGGCCCGCTTGCGTGCCTGGTTGAAGGCATCCAGGTTGCGGCCGAGCGCCTTGAGCTCCCTGGCAATCATGGTCTCACTCGGTGACCATTGTGCGTTCTTCTTCATGCGCTTTCTGAGCTTTGCCAGCTCATAGGCCGTCAGCTGCAGCCAGGGCGCATCTGCGCTTCCGATCACGGCATTTTCGGGCGGCGGTTTCAGCCGAGCCAGTGCCGAGCTCGTTGAAATATACGGCTGACCAGGCACCCGCGACTCGCGCGGCACACGCACTTTGGGAATCTTGGGTGGGTAGAAGGACGACGAGGACCCGCCGTGGCCCACGCCAACACCCCCAGCGCCTGCCCCCTTAAGGCCCTTGAGCCGAGATTGGGCGGCGGGTGTCGACTTCCGCCGCATCGTCGTAGGCGGCGGCGACTCGTCGTCGGATGATGGTGAGCTGATGTCACTCTCACCGCTGTATGATTCGTAATCCAAGTCGTAGGGCGCCAGTACCTCGCCGGGCACCGTGATGCGGGGCACACGTTGCCGCCGCATCCGCTGCTGGCCGTTGCTCTTCTTGGGCTTCGACTGCTGGTTCTGAAGCTGCCGCTGCTCCTGTTCGCGCTGCTGCTGCTGCTGCTGCTGCTGCTGTTTCTGTTGCAGCTGTGCCTGCTGCTGCTGCTCGGCCTCGGGGTAATTCTCCAGCATCGTACGCAGCTTGGCCAGTATGGTTTTGGCACGAAAGTAGTGTCGGTTGACGTTCTCGGCCATCCGCAGAGCTTCTGCGTGAGCATAGACGCGTGCGCTAATGCCCTGGTTGAGGTTGTCGGAGATTTCGGCCCGCAGTTTCGTAGCGGAGGGACGGTTGCCAGCAGGTGTGTTGGGCAGCTGGCCCCAGACGTCCGTCAGCTTGTGCACATTAGTCGACGCATCGATGTAGGCGTCGTCAAGCTTGCCAATAAGCGTCAGAGACCGTGTCATGTCGGATGGTAGGTATTCGGTAAAGTCGAGGAAGTCGGTTACGGTTGCCTGGGCGTCCGGGTCTGTCCGCAAGCTGAAGGAGTTCAGTCTATTCCTGCTCATATTCGGACTTGTCATGGGCGGGAACGGCTCCGGGGCAGATGCTTCGTGGCTCTGTGCTGCCTCTTCACTGTCTTCGTGGGCCACCGTCCCCGCAGGACCTGCTGGAGTTGTCGTTGCCGCTGGTGTCACAGGCGGCGGTGACACGCGCGAGGATCTCAGTGGCCGCGGGGTCATTTTGTGCTTGGGCGAAACCCCGCCATCGCCGTCGGCAAGCCCAGCTTCGATTGCAACGCTCATGATGCTCGTTTCGGCGTGTTCTAGGCGTCACCCAGACGTCGGCAAAAAAGTCGGTCTTTTGGTTCTCGAGGGGTGTCGTAGTGCGCCTGGTCACGCCTGTCGTTCGGGATCCCGTGTGAGCGTCCGCTTGGAAGTGCAACTCCGCGCTACTGCGCGCTGCCGCGGGACATCTCAAAATAGACAAAGGTAGGCAGCGGTCTGTTGGAAAGAGAAGCTCAGGGGTCTGTGCCGCACACGACGGCCGGGAGGTAGAGGAGAGAATATTGAGCGGCGGAGTGTCGTGGATTTGTAAGTCAGTCTACCGTTACGCGTTGCTGCAAGGAGGGTAGGTCGTCACAGATAGCGAGAGTGCGCAGTGTCGAGAAATGCGACGTGATGTTATGTGATGGTATGAGTGAGCGAGATGGGCAAAAGTGAGGTTCCACAGACGGCACGCAGGTAAACTCGTCAGGGCGCGTTTTAGCGTTGTTGAGCAATGTTTGGCGACTGGGCGAACTTGCGCCAGAAATACGCTAGACCTTATTTAGTATAGACTCAGCCTGGCTGTTTCTTCTGCAACGGAAATTATGTAAGCTTGAAAATAACTATAAACAGTAATGTATTAAAGCGATTTCATCGAGATAATACAGGTTGATGCTATCACCAGTCCGCCTAACGTGCCGTCGAGTCATACTAAATGTTACATGAAGTACAAATCATAAAATCTAAAAGAAAGCCAAAGCCAAGTCATACATCACGGGATACAGATCCTTCAAGTTAATGCCAAATTGCAAGTCCGCCTGCTTAAGAAGAGCAAAATCATGAAAACGAAGAGCAAAAAGAAGAATAAACAATCGAAAAAAAAAAAAATCCAAAAAGAGTCATAAACACATAAAAAAAACAATGGGCCGAAAAGCAAAACCATAGAAAAAGAGGAAAATGCAACAATCCCACCAAAAAAAAAAAAGAAAACACGAGGAGAACAAGTGGAAACAAAATGCCGACACGGCCAGTTCACCGCAAGACCCTTTCTACTTCATCGGTCCGGCCTCGTCCATTAGGTGTGGAGTCCGGACACAAAACTATTCCACAAACAAAATAGCTCCCGGCCGTACAGGAAATAAATGGAAATGGATTGAGGCCGACCGGCCGACAAGGCAGCCGTGCCCAGAGATCAATTTCGGGGTCGTTGGGAAGGTTCCACTTTAGTATTTTCTCCTATCGTGGAGAGAAGCCTGGTTACAGACTTTCGGCAAAACGTCTGATCGAAACCCACGGCTGTGTCGATCTGCCGCAGCTGTTGGCGTTCCTGTCTGTGCGAGTCATTGTAGTGGCTACGCCTCATGCTCAGTCCGTCGAACCATTTTGGCACCCCAAACAGTCTCGGACTCGTCTACTTCGTAGTAGGAGTCATCGCCGACAGTAGTCACTGAAGCATAGGCCGTCAGGGACTTGCATTTCCTAGAGTGCCATGCTTTGGTCAGTACACAATATTCCAATGGGACGGGAATGTGAGATGAAAGAAAACAAAAAAAAAAAGGATCGAAAATAGGGAATTACGGACAGGTAGCCTTGAATGACGACAGCACCCCAGACTTCAATGTTGTCGTAGACTTCAAAGTGACCATTGACGGTCAGTTTGCCAAAGATCTTGACCTTTCCTCTATTTGTGTGAGTTTGTTAGTATGTTTTTGAATGCCATCAACATTGTTCTTTGTCGGCAAATAAGAAAGGGAGTGGACGGTACACATACCCGCAAAAGACATATCCTGCAATGTCCATGTTTCCAAAACACTTGATCTTGTCCCTATTGCGAGTCAGTCAGGAACAGATGAACCTTTAAACAACAAAACAAAAAAAAATATTGCTTCATGAGCAAAGTGGTCGACTTACTGGCAAGTCACATTGCCACTGACGTCAATGTTGCCGTAGGCCTCGATCTTATCTCGAACGGAAAAGTCGCCCAGAAAGCTCACGGAACCGCCGCTCTTGACCGAGCCGTCCACCTCCATGGGTCCGTTCAGGTGGATGCTTGTGTTGGACTTGATGCTTCTCTTCTTCTTGATGACGCCGGCATTGGCCGCGCTAGTGTCAATGGCGTGGTCTTGCATATTGTAGTCAACATCGCCGTTGCTGAATGTGAGCATCATCTCGTCGTATTCAGCCTGGGAGATGGTTGGCGCGGCGTGGCCCGGAGGAGAGGGGGATGAATCACCGGGATGAGCTTGGGAAGGGGCTGGCAGAATAAAACGCTTAGTTTTGCTTTTGGGCATGTTACGGTGGTAGGGTAATATAATATTCAGGTGTCGTGGTGTTCCGAATGTGGAATGATAAATAATAATGAAGGAAGTGGCTGGCAGTAGGGGAGCGTTGGGAGTATTTATGTTCAGATGTGGGGGAGCAAAAATGAGAGAGCTTAAAAAAGAATGAGAGAAATAATGGCCGAAATTGAAAGAGTGAGGCAGAAAGTGTGCGAAAATATGCCCAAAAGGTGTGAAGTGACAGTGGTGGTGTTGGAAAAGATCCTTGTCACGAGGTCACGTCGTGCCTGGTCGTGTAAGTCGAAGTGGTGCCAAATCAGGCAGACGTTGGATGGGGCTATTTAGGCGGTCCGCAGCAAAGGTCCGCACCAACGCACCAGGATATCAATCAGAATTTCTGAAAGCGACAACACGAAAATATATGCGGAAGAGTCAGGGTTTGAGTTGCTCTTAACAAAAAAGGTAAATAAATATTTAATTGATGGAAGGGGCACGTAACGGCAAATTGTGTTGGTGTGGGCTCCCCTAATATTGTACCCAAAATGTGAGGCTATTGGAGGCTGCAAAAGCAACAATAAAAGGAATCGTACACTGTTGGATAGAAGGCAGTGGTTTCAGTATTAATAAAAACTGGAAGTCGGGAATAAATATGGAATGTGTATTGCATTTGTTGATGAGAGCTGCGATGAGAGGGAGAGATGCAGCACAGAAGCTAGGGACAGGGAAGGCATCGTGGCTTATATGGAGACCGGAACTAGACTAAGCTTCATGGGTGTAGGGGATGTGGACAAAGTGTGAGAGTAGCGAAAAATGGGCACATTAAAAAGCGTGACTTAGGATGCAAAAGTATAGCCTTTGTGGTTCTCACGCACGGCGGCTGGAAGCGATGCCAAGGTGCAATCAGTAGCTGGGGCAGAGCAATGCAAGAAGAGCTTGGCGAGTAGTCAAAGGAAACGAAAGGACAGTCGGCCTCACCATATCACTGGTGACTCAGCTAGTTCCCTTTCTACTTCTTCCATTGTCTTAATTTCCGAATAAAAATAAAACAGAGAGAGAGTTCATAACTTTCGTCAGAGTCGCCTATGACCTGACGAATGTCGATATCAAGGACGTGGTGGGTGGTACCGTTGGCCGTACCGGGCTTTACTGCCTCGTCCTGGGTTATGATGGCCGTATTCGGTCTATTTTCGGATTGATGCGTCATGGGATACTTCACGCATATTTGAAAGGCCTCATCAAGTCGCCACCACCAAGACTTGAAATACTCGAAGACGAACTGCGTGTGAGTCTCTTTCTTGGGCGCATTTGTGTCTTTCCCAAGGCGGTGCACATCCCGACCGGTGTGTGGAGAGAACCAAAATGATTGCATTCGGGCCGGGACGTGTATGGGGCGGAAATAGAGAACGGACGGGTAGATTTGAGAGGCGGTGAAAAGTATAAGAAAATTATGCTCCAAGAAGATAGCAACGATTTCAAAAAACAAGACCAAAATATGGAGACACCAACACCAGAAGGAGGGGGACATGATGGGGTGATTCGAAGAGTGAGAACAGTGAGTAGCAGGTCGGCGTTGTAGCCTGGCCTTTAATTTGGGGCAGTGAGGGAACGGAGAGCATCAATCTGAAAAGAAATGGCAAGGAGATGCCCATCGGTGCGGATACGGGGCACGTCGTACCCACATCGATGTCGCTCCTTTGGATTTGAACTGATCCCGCACCTGTCCTTTTTCTTTCTTTTTCTCATATTCTTTTGTCCGTCTTCAACATCGGGTCTGCCTCTTCAGCCTTGGAACACAGCCCATACCAAGGCAAAGTCGAGCACATTGTGTCAGAGACTTGAGCTCGAGATAGGCACCAGCATTACCAGTGGCTGCGAGGAGGCCGTTAGAAGCCCAGAAGCAAAAAGAGGCAGACAAGATGACAAAACGACAAAAAGACCAGTCGTAGTGACAGCAAACAAGGCATGCGGTGTCTGGAAAGACGAGCATCATTGTAAGGTGTGGACACCCCTGCATGATGACAGGCTTTCTTTGGAGCTCTGAGCCATCTCCGTGGGTTAGATGATGTGTTGGGAACGCCGTTTTGGTGTCACCTCGCCTTGAACTCCGAATGGGTTCGACGAAGTAATTGAATGGCGATGGCTCAAACGGAAAGACCTGGCTAGGCATTCAATATCAATAATTGCGGACCAATCAAGTGTTAGAGAAAGGGCGGGGCCGCTTGGTCGACCAATCCGAAGCCGCTTTGCGCGCCCTGAACATTCATGACAAGAGGAAAGAGCCAAGTGTGGAAGGAAAGAGCGATTGGCAGCAAATTCGACTCAGAAAATAAAAGAGGACAAAAGGGCCAGTTTCAGGCCTCCATTTTGCTGTACCCCTCTTCTCCTATTGGTTTTCTGTTGCCCGCGCCTCCCGCTTTGCAAGCATATGTTTGCGATTCTGTGCTGTCTTGTACTTTGCGGCCAAAGCTGTCCGCGTGGGTCGACTTCTCGTTTTGTCACATCCCACCATTAGGCAAGCCTCTGAGGCAGACCAGGCAGACGGGCCGGAAGGCACTCCACTTTTATCGGCATTCTTGGCATGTTGCAGTTGCGCCCACCCGGTCGCTCTTGCAGCACAAACTGTGCCCTTTCATTTATTACCTTTTATTGATATTATTTGACACATGATTCTCGGTCACGCCTTAGGTGGCGGAGCTCGAAATCTTTGATTTGCCTCGTAGACGCCACGGCGAACTGCCCAACACGAACAACCATTCGAAGCTCGGAAAAGGGCGTTGATACCAAAATAATATTATGAATAAGAATAAAACGTTGACCAAGACCACTCGGGGCGCAGCACCATCCTATCTCGTGTTCGACGTGGGATGACTTGCCCACGTTGCACTGTACAGTTGCTCTTTTTACTAGACTCGGGCATGGTCCTTCGGTATTGTTAATGTCCCGGCTCCATGGGCCGGTCTTGCTTCGTCGGTTGGTCCTGCCGGTCGCCTTTTGCCATTCCGGGTATTTTATTTTGTAATCTATAAAGGCGACGTAGGATGGACTCGAAACAGAATCCAGAGCCGGGAATACACAGCGGCCGTCTACCGTGGTACCTTGGAAGTCCTGCAAACATCTCCAATGGAATGGACAGTCTTGGAGTAAATAATGTAAATTGTGGAGGCCGCCGGACAAAAGTCTAAGCTACGGCAGAGGGCTGAATAATGAAAAGGTCCAGATCAAAATATGTGAACGACATCAAGCCCGGGCAAGGAGTCGCTTCGAACACAACACACCTTTGATACTTGGCAAAAAGGTGTTCCGAGGGCGACAAAAAGAAATATAGTGTCGGCCTCTCCTGGATGTGCAATCCACAAGTATCCCTTTTACTGGTCAGGATTAGTTCTCTCAATCCGTCAGCCGCAACAGATTGGGAAAAGCATGGGGCGTCCCAATGAGAATTAGCCAAAGAGAAGAAAAAGTACTGAAAGAAGAAGAGATGAGCGCGGCTAGCCGCCCAAGCGGCTGAGAAAAGAACGCCGAGGCTGAAGAGAACATGTTTCGGAGAAAAAGCACAAAAAACAAAAGACTGGGGTTAGAAGGAACGTTCAGGTTGAATGCAAGTGATGGAGACGGCTCTGCCCAGCATCGTTAGTGCCGACATCCATCGCAGCCCTACGAAGCGGTTGCGGGCAAATCAGCGCACGGAAACGTCCTCCCTTCCGGGGTGGCACGGCGCATTTCTCTCTTTCGTCATCTCGTAGGGCAAACATGCATGTTGACAATTGGCGGGGTTTTGTCTATTGTGAAATATTATTGGTACGCGTACGCTGACCGTTACCGACAGTCAAACGCCACATGTGCGGCCGTGACAATCCTTTCAATGAAAGGGGTGTGTCGGCAGGGCAGGCTCAAAAAAGACGAGATGAGGTAGGGTGGCTGCAGACGCTAACAAACCGACAAAATACGACGACCACACCGACAACGTTTGAGGGTGTGGTGATTTTGATGCAGGCAGCAGGCAGACGAGTAATCGTTTCGGCCTGTGCCTGGAAGCCGCAGAACGGCTGCTCCCACCGGCCGTCTCGGACGCTTAATAAATGAGTACTGTCTGGGCTCAAGATAACCTGGTTCGACATTAGACGCGGCAGCGTAGCTTGTCTTACACCGGGAACGATGCAAGTTGGTTCGGGAAGAAGGCTCCGTGCCAGGATCGATGAAACAAAAACAAGGCCGGCGCGAGGTGGCTCTCAAAACCTTGGGCGCCTGTTAAATGTGTTTGTGGAAGTCAAAGGGGTAAACTGAGATTGAAATGTCACCGAAAATAACAGGCTGCGTTGGGGAGGAGGCTGCGACGCAGTGTTTTTGGCCTAGCAGTCTGGAAATGGAATTTGTAGCGGGTAAAGGTTCACCAGCAAATGCGGTGTGTATGCATGCAAACCGTTAGGTTCCAATAAAAATACAGAATTGTAAAGCAATATTGTGGTAGCCTAAAAACCACAGCTGAAGCAGCTGAAAGTAGGTAGACCTGGACCATGAAACTGAAAATGTCATAAAACGAAGAAGCAGTTGGAAATAAACCGGCTGTCGAAAGACACTGCCACCCCCAGGCATCCAAAAAGCAGCAATTGTAAACGTGATGGGACGGATATAATTTATAAATCCAAATTGAGACTGACAAAACATCCGAAATAAGCCTGCACAGCACTCCAAATCCCGTGCTCAGACGCCCGAAAGCAATCAAGACAATTAGACGACACGAAGGAGAAAAATCGTGACAGAACGAGGAAAATGAGGGCGAGTAGAAGACAAAACGTCTCGCCACCCTGTCGCCTTATATTTTCAAAGGCCAGTATAGCCGAGACCAACAGCAACAAATAGAGGTGCCACAGCCCAGATGGAAGCAAAAGCCGCAGCACCAACAGCATCAACCCCCGGGATACCGTGGAGGCATTGCACAAAGATGTTGGCACCGACAGAGAGCGAGGTAGTGACGGCACGCAGGGCGACAGTCCGTCGGTAGCTGGCAGCGCTGTTGTTGGGGCCGCTGCTGGCAACGTTAAAAATAAAGTTGCGCGAAAAGAAGCCCGATACAGTGTTGACCACCACCGCCGAAAAACTCAAAAAGACAGCTGAGAACACCTGGTACAACGAAGGTGGAGGGGATATCGATTGGAGAGTTGGCACACGGGCAGGCTCGACGGTGGCGATCCCCAGAAAGTGTATTACCAGTGTCGCCGGTAGGAAGAAGCGACATGCCTGGACTAGGACAAAGCCATAGATCACTGCGGCAAAGGCATATGGGGCCGTAAAAGCGGTGATGTCGCGGAACATATCCGTGAGAACTTCGCCGAAGTCTTCTTCCTCTAGCTCGTTAGATCCCGCGAAGCCTTCGTAAACTTCGAGCATGATTGTTTCGGCGCCGATGGTCACAGCCTCTGCAAGAAACGCCGACACGAAGGGTACGTTGTAGTAGGAGTTGAGCAAGTAGATCTGTGCGAGAGACCCAACCAGGTTAGACACGTTCGAACGAATGAATCGAGTAACAACACCAAAAAAGAAAGAAACGAAGGGGGAAAAAACATACAATCGGTGCACTGGAAAGAGCCTGCAGGGCAGATAGGTTGCCCGCAGAACCCCAGGAAGCGGCCAATCTCAAACTAAAAAGCGTTGCAGTCAGTATGTGATGATATAAGAAGGGCTTTCGTAGAGGACGTGGCCTACATGCGAGCAGCGACAGAGGCAGCAAAGGGCTGGATATGGGTTGGGCCGGCCGTGCTAAAGTACGACGCTTCCGAAATCCACGTTTGCGACCATGCTGTCGCGAGCCAGCGCAGCGCGAGGCGCCCACCGGATGCCAGAAGCGACGATGAGACGGCTATGAATACAATGCCCCGCAATGCCCGGCCTTTGTCTTGCACGGCCTGCGACAGAACACCGGGAAGTGGCCAATGTGGCGAAGCGTTGAAGGTGTCGGCCACCTCGTCGACGACCTTCCTGGCCTTGCGCAGACTCTTGTCGCGCTCCTTCTTGGTCGAAGCAGCGGCTTTCTTGGGCGAGCGGGCCGCAGTCGCCGCCTTGCCACGTGCCTTTTCAGCGCCCTCGACAACAATTGTACCCAGGTCTTTGTCCTCGGCGCTGTCATTGCCGTCGTCATGGCTGGCGCGAGGTTTGTTCTTGGACCGGCCGCCCTTCCGCGTCGACTTGGGCGACACGTCCGTCGCGGACGCTGCTTCGGCAGCAGCCCTTTTGCGCGTCGTCGGTGGTGACGGCGTTGCGTCGGTAGCGACCGTGACGGACTCCTCTACGGACTTGGTGCCGGATTTTGACTTTGGGCGCGCCATTGTGTTTTGAACGGACGGGCGGTGATGTAATTAGGTCGCGTGCCGGATGGTGGAAGTCCGATGGAACTAAGCTCTGAATGATGCGGCCTCTCCAACAATAAGAAAGAATGGGGGAAAATGCCAGGAATCAATTACCTTCAACGATGGAGCGAGACAGTGCAATTGGGAAATTGATTTAGTATTTCGGCTGTTAACAGGGGTT